GTGCGCTTTGAGTGGCGCCACCGTCGTTGTAATCAAACTGTAGTCGTTAGTTTTAAAACATTTTTTTTAAATATTTCTAATGGTGAATGAACCATGAAACTTTTTACGTAGCGTAATTATAACCTAAATTAGCTGAAAATAACCCTAGAACCTATGAGTAAACTCTCCCTTTAAGCAAGGTAATGGGTTCAAGGATAGAGATGATGTCCAGTACGGTGATTGGATACCGGTAGTCTGCCGCGAAATGCGTGAGACTTGGTAGGTATAAATTTCTTAGAATAATAACCTTTTAATATTTCCGGTATACAGTTATACTGTACTGGTGTAGGTACTGTCATTCCCAGACCACGACATTGAGCAACTACCCAATCGCTCAGTTCGAGATCAGCGAATGTTAATCGCAATTGTGCGTCTTCAATCTCCGACATGCTGACCACAATAATAATGTGTTGCACTGGGGAGAGGCATATTTTACCCAGCGCTCATTAAGAAATAGCCCACGTTGATACCCAAACTCCACGACAGATGGCGCTCTCGCTCATAGGCTATATCTAGACTGGTTCCCGGTTAGGGTTAGGGTTAGGGTTAGGGTTAGGGTTAGGGAGTAATCGAGTAATCGAGGTGGGAGCGAGTACCAGTCTAAGGCTATATCCTGAGTGTGGGAAGGGGGCGCTGCATGCAGTTTGGTTGATACCATACCACAAAATGTTAAAGGTGTTTGTAGTACTTACTTTACAGTACGAAAATTAATATATAATAATAATAATAATAATAATAATATAATAATAATTAGCTATCTTTACAGAACTGATATTAATATATGATTTTTGATAATTTTGTTCCCTACAGCGATCCTGGTGGAGCAGTTTTTAGCCAATCAGCAGGCTTTAACAACGAAACTTTCCAAGATGGTGCTAGAGAGTACTGTTATTTGGTAATTGTGCTTAACAAATGCTTTCTAGAGTGAACAAAAGCCAAATTTGACGACTTTTCGAATATAGGATTTGTTTAAATTAAGGACTTTAACTTTTATGTAATTATGCGCGTTTATATGTGATTTTATTGGTGTAACTACTTCTACTAAAATCCCGTTGACTCACGATCTTCCTTCCATATATCCATCTCTAACAAGAGAAGAGTGACAACGCAAATATAGTTATATACTCTACAGCGGAATAATACAGTTATTTTCTTCCACAGCGTTGACAACAGCGAGTTTATGAGGAATGGAGACTACCTGCCTACTCGACTACAGGCACAGCAAGATGCAGTCAATCTTATTTGTCGATCAAAGACACGTTCAAATCCAGAAAATAGTGTTGGTCTCATGACCCTTGCAAAGTAAGTGCAATTGTTGAATTTCAGGTAAACTTAAATGGATGTGGGCATTTTATCTACAACCTACACGTAAACATTGGATCTGTGAAGTAGTGATGTTGATGTAAACCTACACGCCCGATAGGCGATAGCAATCAACCAAATGAAAATGTAGCATCACACAGCAAATAAGTATATTATTGTGTTGTATACTATAATATAATATATATATATATATAATTTGTGTTACTATTCTGTGAGAGTGTTTGCAACTGCGTATTATTGTTCCATTGTAGTGTTAGAGTGTTGGTGACCCTGACATCAGATGCAGGCAATGTAATGGCAAAGCTGCATCAGATTCAACCTAGTGGATTCATCAATATCATAACGGGCATTCGTATAGCACATGTAAGTAGAGGCTTATAAAAGAGAGCAGCAGAGAAAAAGAGGGAGAGAGGGATAATATATATGGTAAAGTGGGAAGAACATCTTCACACACAATTAAAATTGTTTTCTGACATGCCTGTTTTTATTGCAGCTTGCACTGAAGCATCGTCAGGGAAAAAACCATAGGATGAGAATTATTGTGTTTGTTGGCAGTCCTATAGAATCCGATGAGAAAGAGGTATGTTCCAAAGCATGCTATATGTTATGTTATGTTCTCGTAATTGTCGGTGTCCACTACACTGGATATAATGACTAGGTAGTAAGTGCCTTCAGGGATAAACCCAATAAACAAACAGGTGCATAATGATGATGTGAGTGCAATGCAACTGGTGTTCTCTTAAAGTGGGTTCGCGTGCATGTGGGAGTGAAGCCTTGACTTGAAAATGTCAACGTCCGTTGCTTCCACAACACCCACGGGTAGGTTGTTCCAGATTGGAATCATCCGGGGGAAAAAAGAGAATTTGAATGCGTTGTTGTTGCAGTGCAGGTGCCGAAATTTGTGGGGGTTTTTCGATCTGGTACCTGACATCCCCGGGATCAGATATCTATTCGCCGGTATTGCTATGAGGTGGTTTACAACCTTATACATCACTACACTTGAGTTAAAGCATCTACGATACATAAATTGTTGCCACCCGAGTTGGTTCTTAAGAGCTGACGTACTGCTATATAGCCCATAGGTGTTTGTAACAAATCTTGCAGATCTGTTTTGTATAATTTCTAGCTTATATATGTAGTATCAGTGAAAAAAAATACACGGGGGCTCGGGGCGATTTAGCCTCCGAAATGCCAAAAAGAGCCCTGGAAATGCCAAAAAGAGCCTCCAGAAATTTGCATAGAGTTCAATGCAAACCAAATTTTAGAGTGCTATTTTCATGCACGCAAGCTTGAAAAGTAGCCCCCGAAAAACAAATTTTAATTTTTCCCTGTGTAGTATTATACATTAAGTACTGCATAGAGCCAGTATACATTAATTAAGTAATAGCCCCCTAATTGCTGCGTCTGTTGCTCTATTACTTTTCTTAGTATTTTTTCAACTTCTTCATGTTTTCCGTAACCTATAGTAATAGTTTACTGTTATTCCTTGCAGCTGGTCAAGTTAGCAAAGAGGCTTAAGAAAGAGAAAGTGAACATTGATATTGTAAACTTTGGCGAAGAGGGAGAGAATACAGAAAAACTCATGAACATTGTCAACACCGTCAATGGAAAGGATGGGAACAGGTATGTAAATGCTTTATAAACTCAAAATAACTAAATACAAAAAATTTAGATAAGATTAATTATGTTGTACAGTTAAATTTGTATAGAATCTTTACTGTTATATATGTGTGCATGCAGGCGTGTGTGTGTGTATATATATATATATATAAGTGTACGTTTGTGTTTCAGCTCGCACCTGGTGACGATTCCTCCCGGTTCTCAGTTCAGTGAGGCGTTGATTAGCTCGCCCGTCGTTCAGGGAGAGGACGGCGCCGGCGCGATAGGAATGGGAGCTAACGATTTTGAGTTTGGCGTCGACCCTGCTCAGGATCCAGAGCTGGCTCTGGTAAGGGTTTATCTACGCACACAGGCGGGGGTTGCTAGTGTGGGGCGAGTTTGCTAGCAGTGTGACAAGTGTGCGAGGTGGAGAATGTATCGTGGTTAACGAGGGGCAGGAATAACGTTAGGGCTTGTTGAGAATGCAAGAGAATGCGCTGTGTCTTATGCGTGATGTAGCGTGATGAATGTGAAATGGAGCGGCTTGCAGATGGTTTAATTATTATGGTTACTGTAGCTCCTAGACTTGCAAACGCTCGAGTTAACGACATTCAGAGATACGAACAAACCTGTTTGCATAACGAATTGCGTGTAGCAGGCTGCTGAGATCAATTGCCAAGTTCATCGTATTGACGAAATTGCAACTCGCAATTGAATTAATGAGCTTGTAAACCCGACATTTTGTTTTTGTATACCTTTTATGCACGGTCTCCGACTGTATTACTGCAAAGTTGTACGTACAGACTAATCCAGTTACGAACAAACATTTAGAACCGAACGTGTTCACGAGCAGCTATGACTGTAGTAGCATCATCGGCATAGCATCTGCTACAGAAGTGTGATGTTTTACGCGGCGTGTCACGCGTGTGTCGCAGGCTCTGCGTGTGTCCATGGAGGAGCAGAGGGCGCGCCAGGAGGCAGAGGCACGAAAAGTCACAGAGGAGTCTGCCAAGGAAGTCAAGGACGTGGTCATGGCCGATGACGGTAAGCGTCCGAGAATCCCGAACCTGGGGGCCATTGTCAGAAACATCGTAAAGTTAATGCTAATGTTAATGCTAAGATAACACTTACGACTAATGTTAATGCTACGAGAGGAGCGTTGACAGAAACACATCGCAGCTATTAGAAAACTTACGATAACAGGAACTTCATCACAAGGCTGCTGATTGGATGAGAATCGATCACAAAATTCAAATTAATACACATTTATTGTACATCACAGTAATTTATGAATATTATGATGGCTAACCACATATAAATGATGATCGTAAAACTGTTAATAATATTTCAGTCAGTATAAGTGAAATCTGACAAATGTTATCAGTCAGTTGTCAGTTTTGAGGCAGTGGGTGGTAAGATGTAATTCTCTACTCTATGTATCACCAGGGTCGGGGTCAGGCCAGGTCATTAGGTTGGAGGTCCATGTAAATGAAATACAGAGTCTGACTTAAACCCTCAGTATGTTAGAGCATACATACATCTATGTGTGTGAGTTCCAATGGTGTGTTTGGAACAGCAGTAGTGTGTTAACTACACGTGTTAACATTTGCCGTTTCAGCATCGAATGAGGAAGCCCTTCTTGCTCAGGCTCTTGCTATGTCCATGCAGCAAGATGAGGAGGCAGAGGATAACGATGCCGAGGAAGGGAGCGCTGGTAGCATGCCGGACTTTGCCACCATGACAGAGGAGGAACAGATTGCATATGCCATGCAGATGTCTCTACAGGCTGCCGCAGGTTTGTCGTTTCACGAGGAAGTGTGCTGTAGTGTCGGTTTGAAACATCCGTCGATTGTCTTGCTATTAAACTAATGCCGAGTGTGTTTAAAAATTAATTTATATTCAATTTGCTAGAATGAAAAATGTGCTTTGGCACATTAAGTAAATTTTTTTATGTAATTTAGTGCAACATTGCAAGTTTTTAACAACGAATTCCTTTATGCATGACAAATACAGTGAAGTGTTATAGTTTTAGTGTATAATTTCCTGGCATTCTTTTAATGTCATAATTGATTAAAACATTAAATATTTAAAATAACCTATATTATAGATACCATACTATCAGCATATGTAATTCCAATGTGCGACGTGCTTTTCTGCACTGTTTTCTAGATTACCATCTACCATATCTACATAATGTGGTTATACAGTACACAATCTATTATCTGAAATTCTGAAAACCGAAAAGCTCCGAAAACCGAAAGTTTTTTCGTGGAGGTCGTCTGCACACCAAAGCTCGCGTTTGCCGCCAAAACTCGACCCGACGAATATTAATGTGTTTGGCATTACTCATACATATTGTACTGTATAGGTACAGCACTTGGCCTCTTGAAAACTTGGGTTTTAGTACTGGCTAGTTGCAGGATATACGGTATGTATATCTGTACTGTACTACCATTCCGAAATCCGAAAAATTCCGAATTCCGAAACGTGTCTGGTCCCAACGGTTTCGGGCAATAGATTGTGTACACAGTATTCGCACCTACCATACACTATTTTTCACTGTTGCTTGTACTTGCAGCCGAGGCACCAAAGGGAGACACTAAGGAAGTTAAGGAGGAGCCGATGGAGACTGAATCAACTGAACCCAAGAAAGAGGTCGGTGCAAGTCTGTCAAAAGTTTTTGAAAAGAATAAATGGGAAATATTTAAAAAATCTTTAGCAGCTTGTGCATTAAAAACCTGCCTGTTGCAGAAAACCGTTTCATTTGTCCCTCAACTGTGAATGCACATTATTTACATAACTAATAGAGGATGTTTGACCATCTGAGCTAGTCTGATAGAGCTTAGATAGTTGCCTTGCTGTCCATCTTTCATTGATCTGCCTAACTATTCAGGCACAATCAGGAACTACTTCATTGCCAGTGTAAATATTCGGCATATAGGTGATCCAGTGTGGAACTTTTTTCACCGAGCATAGTCTATTCTCATCAAGTTTTCATCGCAAAGATCTTACTCTTCCCCTCAGAAATGCAAACAGTGACTGCTAATCTCATTGACTAGGGGGTTAGGGTTAGGGTTGCTAACGTAGAGTAACTAACGTTACGCTCCGAGCTGTCAATAAATCTCCGACGGTTTCACAGGAAGAAGATTAGTGCAGAACCTTTTTTCACGCATATCTTCTCATCGTGTCTTTACGCAAAGATCGGACTTTGGTTAACTAGTGATAACTAGATAACTAGCTAACCTAGAGTTTCTTGGTTAATTATATCTATATAAAGGTTAGCTCGTTAACTAGTGGGTAGGGTTAGGGTAATTAACGTTAGGTTCTGAGATCTCAATGATTTTGTCTCCGCAGGAGGAGGATTACTCTGACGTGATGAACGATCCGACGTTCCTGCAGAGCGTCTTGGAGAACCTTCCCGGCGTGGACCCGCAGAGCGAGGCGATCCGCTCAGCGATGGGTTCTCTCACCGGCCAGGAGGAGAAACCGAAACCCAAAGGCAAGGACCCGAAGGAGAAGAAGTGAGAAACGTGTGCGACCCCCCGCGCGTCGTATTTATGATTGGGGGATTTCGTTGTTGTCTGTTTTCGGACGCTTCCGAGACTAACTACATCTGGATATTGTAATCGGTGATGTAACATGTACACTGTGGACTTTGTGAGTACTTTCACTACTAACTGCTCTGTCTATATAACCATAGCTAATGCTTGCAAGGCCGAGTTTGTAACTTTGGACGAGAAATCAATAGTAACTTTCGTTTTGAATGTTGATATCTATTCACATACGCACACATGGAAGAAATTACTATTAATAAAAGATATTGAGAAAAATGAATTTGCCGCTTTGATTGTCATGCTGTCCTTGATAATTCTTGATAACAGGTTAATCTGAATAGAAAGGCCTGTTGCTTCTTACATCTTCACAGCAAAGAATAAATGGCAAACTTTTATATCAGTTTTATGAAACAATTTGCTATTTGCTAATTGTTCCATCCTTGTTTCCACTGAACATCATATACTTCAAATGCGAATAGGTCTCTCTATTGTTTACATTGTGTACTCTGTATGAAGTTGATAAATAATGTCTAGAGCGATCCTCAAAACTGCATTGATGTAGCATTAATTCATTTTTAATAACTCGGTAGCTACATTTTAATTTATTGCATTATTCACAGAAACACTCACGTCGCGAATATTCATAACAATTCATCGTCGATAAATCTGCTAACTAAACAACAAAGCCCACAGACTACTCGCCCATGTACACAAACGCAAACACTCGATCGCTTTCCTCGAAATTCCAAACGCGTCACCCAACACGATTCGATCGCAAAATCGCGCCGAGACGCTGCTACTAACACCGAGCTCCGACCGCCAGTGCTGCTAAAACCCAAAGCAGACACCGACGTCGCGAATGACGCGCGTGCATTCCGGGTGTTCCCGCCAGCCGACCGACCGTCCACGCGCGCACGAAGAACGCGGGAACGTTCCGGGTGTTCCTATCGTCCACGCGCGCACGAAGAACGAGGGAACGTTCCGGGTGTTCCTGTCGCCCACGAAGGATGCGGGAACGTTACAGGTGTTCCTGTCGCCCACGCGCGCACGAAGGACGCAGGAACGTTCCGGGTGTTCCTGTCGCCCACGCGCGCGCACGAAGGACGCGGGAACGTTCCGGGTGTTCTTGTTACCCCGGCCGTCGCTCGCCTACGCCTCCCTACAGCTTGCTGCGGATGTGTCTGAGCACGGCGTTGACCATGTTGCCGATGCCGTCGAACACCTCGTGCATCGGCGCCGCGCCGCACATGAACGCTGGCGTCGTGATCACGTGGTTGGCTTCGTCGATGTGCAACCCCGTCGCGTTCTTGTTGTGGTGCGTCGCCCCCATCGCCGTCGCCGCGGCAACCGGCCCCGCGTTCTCGTCGTCCTGGCCGAGCGTGATGGAGCAGGCGTCGTAGGTCTTCGCAGCGAGCACGGGCGAGATGCAGCACAGCCTGAAACACGTTAGTCACACACACACACGTGTCTAAGATGTCTATGATTTAATACAGTGTCGCATGCCGTGTGGGATGCATGCCACATGCCGCCGCGTTCAAGTTGCGACTGGTTTTTGTTATTGCCTCGAAATGATGCTGACTATTTGCATCGTGAAAAATGGTAGCGGTGCCACTGACAGGTTCTGCGATTGGTTTGCGTCGTTGTCTCAGATTATTTGTATCGTAAAACAATAGCGGTCCAAGTCCAACATAGACAGTTATTCATTAATTTCCAGGTTTGGGTGTTGTATTGACATCACCTTACATGTTGAAAATGTGCAAATATTCGTTCTGTGATGAGTTACACGTGTTTTTTGCTTCAAAATGCCAGCAGTTGAAATTTGAGAATGCGCGTACAGTTTGCATTTGTATTTCGTACCCTATTGGTTTTTTGGCATATCTGAAATCTTTCAGAACTTTCTCCACTTGCGGCTCCACCGACATATTGCTTCCTTCCGTGGCAAAGGTTGACCTGTTGCAGTAAATAGTCGTGCGTTATGACCTTGAACAGTGCCTGGAGGGGTGGTTAGAAGGGTTTCTCTCATAGCAGTGGGTTCTAATTCTCCATATCACCATGCGATTGTAAGTGAATGATTAAGGGTGTCTAACTTCTGTACAAACTTTGTATCAACAACTAAAATATTTGAAGGAGGGAGTGGCGAGGCATTACGCTAGCCACGGACTCAGGCGCAGCCACTAAATGTTTTTAAAAGAACCACTAATGTAGTTGTAACAGATCAAAACAAACAAGTACTGTACAATTGTATAAAACTGTACAGATTCACCTGTAAAAAGCTCACGATCACACGACCCGGTCGTATATATTTAGGTATTAAATAGTGGAAAATAATGTTATGTTTGATCTATTTACAATGTCTTTTTTGTATATAATCTGTATTTCTTGCCTCTACTCCTCAGTACTGTATCAAACTGAGAACATGTCTTGTCCATGAAAGCATTCAGGCCCGGGGCGAGCATTTACTCAGCATGCCCTTTAGAGTGAGCCAAATAGGTTATCACAACAAATTAGGGCAGCATATAAATATATTCTAAATGCGCACTGCAAAAATCACACACGTGAGCCATATTCCCATCCCCTGCTCGTAACACATATTGTTGTACAGTATATTGTAACAGTAGTTTGTTGGAAGTACATATATTGCACATGAATCTTGCACTTCCCTTGCCAACCCGCATTTAAAAATAGACTAAAGAACAATTGTTTGGCCATATGATACCAATTAGTGTCTGTGCTTACCCAGTGTCCAACTTCGTTCTGTTTTATTTATACATGTATGCAGACTGTTTTATTACCTTATATTACCATAGATAATTATGTTACGGTTTATGTTATATTAGGTTATGTTAATTATGTTATCATTATTATGTTACGTTAATTATGTTACGTTAATTATGTTATGATGATTGTTTACATAAATTACATAAAATGTACCAAAAAACAATGATTGACTTTATAATGCACACACACGCACGCACGCGCACACATTACACAGCGTGATTACATACAGATTCTTGGCTGCTCCGAATCCGCCGGGGAAGATGACTGCGTCATAGTCGTGAATGGAAAGCTCATCAAGTGGCTTCACATTACCTCTGCCGATTCTTGCAGATTCCTCCAATACGTTCCTGTAGGGAAGACACATAAACCCTTACCTCCTGCCATCTAACCACACACACGTTCCTGTAGGGAAGACACATAAACCCTTACCTCCTGCCATCTAACCACACACACGTTCCTGTAGGGAAGACACATAAACCCTTACCTCCTGCCATCTAACCACAGTTACCACACACATGTTCCTGTAGGGAACACACACAAGTAGTAAATACAGCTCAGGATTATAAAAGTCTAACATTACAGAAACACACTGCACAAAGGTATTTCCAGTTGAAATTCACTACTTTACGTCACTTCTAATTCAACCGGGTCACGAGACTCGTCGCATTTATTTTCGCGCGATCGTGGGTCATGTTTGCTGCGCTAGCATTACCGGACAGGGTGGAGAGTACCTGCGTTGTCCGTCTGCAGGGTTCCCCGTCAGGTGGTTGACGACGTGCATCTGATCAATGTCCGGAGCAAACAGCTGCATCTTTACTCCGCCTCTACTCAGATGAACCATCACACTGCAACATAAAGATAACGACAGCTGCTAATCGGATGCTATAATAATGACAGCAACCATAAGCTCCTACCAGACGAGCCGCCATTCCATTACACTTATCCCATTTCCATATCGCATTGACACCTATCCAATCAATCTTGCAGAGGGGTCGAAATAAGCGATGGTCTGATGGTCCGGGGCATCAAATAATCAGGAGGAC